GTCATGAATAATTAAAAAGCAGGGTCTTCTCATAGGATAAGAAAACTGTGTTATATGAATAACAATCAGTAATCAAGGTGTCATCACTCTAATAGCAAATTCGCGCTACGCCACAATAATTATTTTAAACCCGGAAAATAAAAGTAGCTGATAAAAGCTAAAAATCATCCAGTTTTTCCCACCATTACACACACAAATCTGTTAAAATCTCAAAAAGGCACTCTAGGGTGTCTTGAAAAGGGTCATGAACTGAGAAACCACATTTCCTCTAAATCTTTAAACATGCAAGTGCTTAAAGTACTAAAAAACTTCCTGAAAGTTTCAGAACGAAACACTTTATGGTTCCTCTAAAATCAGCTTATATTGTAGGCAGTCTACTAAAACCACAGGCTCTGGAATGTTCTACTTTATGATGTAATAGAGTGAAAAAGCTCCGCCTCCACAGAAGATGAGCACCTACTTCTATTTCAAAGCCTGTTCAGCTTTGTTTATAAGAAAAACTGTTAGCCAATCAGAGGTGTGTTTCCCAAAACCATTTTTAGCCAACTAAGGTCGCGAGATCCATCGTTACAAACATAGTTTTTTGATTTGCTGTTTCCCAAATCCGTCGCTCCAATGAACATTCGCAAACTGCGTCGCAAACTTGAGCACTCGCAACTACACCTCTGGAGCTGTAGTTTGAAACATAGTTTCTAGCTGTGTTCTATTTCCACTTATCCCCCATATGCCCTATTCATTTAGAACATTCTAGCATTCAAAGTTGAAATTTAAAAAAAATAAAAAAGCATTAAGGTCATCTTTCTAATGTGTAATTTGCTTTCAAACTATTTTTACAGTTCAGTTTTAGCGATCTTCATGTTTACAATTGTGCACTCTTCGCAGTGCACTTTGAAAATATTGAAGTCATTTTGAACTCAGCCTCATGGCGAAACCTATAGGTGACCTATTATTTAAAAGCGGAATTTATGTTACGTCTCCAAAGCTTGTGAAAACAAAAAGCATATGTTAATTATTTTAATTTATAGTAGGTTATTTATTAAGTACATTATATGACATGGGCCGCTGGTTACTTTCTGCTGTAGTTTACAAGTGTCAAATTGTAAAAGTAGATTTTTCTAAAAAAAAAAATAATAATAATAAAAATTTAAAATATCTTACTTAATAATAATAATAATAATAATAATAATCATTAATATTATTAAAGTATATTTTTTCATTTCTAATACATACTAAATATTAAATTTCATTTCTTAATAAATCGCCTCTTTATTTATTCATTTATGTGATTAATATATGATATTATAATAGTGTTAGCTTTTGTAAGTGATTTTATGTTTTAGAATAGAAAATGTTATATTCTCAATAATATTTGTAAAGGAAACATAAGCCCTATATGTGCCATTTAAATATATTTCAGTTAATATGGAAAACAAGTTTTGTTTTTACCAAATCTATTATTGGATTTTATTTTAAATTTAGTTTTTGTAAAACACACACTTTTCTTCTTTCTTTTCTTCCCTCTTTTCTTCCCAAAAAGGGAAGAAAACACTTTCCCGAACGCTCGCGCTCAATCTGCCCAGTTGGTGGAATGAACTCCCTAACTGCATCAGAACAGAGTCACTCGCTGTCTTCAAAAAACGACTAAAAACTCAACTATTTAGTCTCCACTTTCCTTCCTAATCTGCAATTCCCTCTCTGACTCCTCCACTAACTACAAAAAAAAGAAAAAAAATACTGATGTTTTGCTTCTTACACTTTCTTTACATACCTGAAACTTGCCTACAGCACTTATTCATTGTTGCTCTTATAGTTGTGTAAATTGCTTTCTTTTTCTCATTTGTAAGTCGCTTTGGATAAAATCGTCTGCTAAATGACTAAATGTAAATCTAAATGTAAAACAATAAAACTTGCACAAAGAAATGATGGGGTTCTTCTCTAAAGTAGTTACTTAGAGCGTAACTTGGGTGTTTTACATTATAACTAACATGGTTCAAGCGATGGATATGCGTCAGAGAAACTATGCGTTTTGGTAAACACTCGTCACTACATCGTTCTTTTCCCAAATTATGCATCATACTATAATAGTTCAGCAGCGAGTTACGTCGTTGTTTGGGAAACGCACCCCAGAGCAGTGGGTGTTTACTTACACAATTGGTCACGTTCATGCAAACAGAGCTTTTTTGATGAGGAGGTCAAAAACAGCAAAGAAAATAAACATTTATATTAAATTATGATTTTTTATATAAAAAATCATATAAAAAAAATCTTGATTACTTTATAAGAAGACCCGAGAGAACAGTACAAAACATAAGGTAGTTCAAAACCTCTTTAAAAAGTTGAACTTAATAGAAACAAGTTACAAGAAAAAAATAATTTTTATGTATTAAGGCAAACTTGAACTGACTGAGTTGAAGTAGATTTCTAGTTCCAAGCATGCTTTGTTTCAGGAAAATAAGTGTTGAAATGAAGTGTTGTTCAATGTGTTTATCCACAAGATTAACATAAAGAGACATCAATTAGTCTGGGAATTTGCACTGTGTTGTTATTTAGAGAGGTTTCTATTGTGTTAAAGTTGTAGGATCATTGTAGTGAAGAGTACAGCCTGTGGTTTAGGTTGGGGAGGTGCTGAAAAGCCATACTGCATATTCAACAACTATAATCATGTAAGTGTGTATGCATCATGTCACCATGTTTTTGCAGTTTACACGAAGCTGATAATAGTAGCATTTTCAAAAGACATGCAATTTGAAACCTGTTTTTTTATGGCCTCAAAATGTTGATGTTGTGTCAGTGAACAGCCACATTGCACGGAAAGTTTTCTTGATTTAATTAGAAAATGTAGATTAAATTATATGTTCAATAAGTTGCGACAACATATGCTTTTTTACGTTAAGTGTAAATTTAAGTTCTTCATGTTTCTAACATATTTTTTTTAAATGTGTACTGTACATACATGATGTTTTAAGTTAATGTAATTTTTATTTCAAATGACTAAGAAGTTTAATTTGATTGAACTTAAAGATATAAAGCAACTAGCAATTTTTACTGCATATGCTATCCGTTCCCTCCATGTTTTGCAGTTTTTCAGATATCATTTTAAAAATACAAAAATGCAATTATAATTAAGGATACATTTACTTAACACCAATGTACCTATAAACTGGAAATGTCATTTTGAAAAGTTTTACTTAAAGACAACAATGTTGTCAAAATGATGTTTGAGTCGTCAAGTACTCAGACATACCTATTGAATACAGACAGTGTGAAATCATCTTATTCACAAATTAAAAACATATAATTTTCTCCAGGAAGAGGGTTACATTGCATATTGCAATAAACAATGTTAAGAAAAGAGATGTGCAAAAAATGTCTTACCATGTAAGTTTGTTGATGAATTTAAACTGGTTTCTGCCAAATTCTGCAAGTTTTCATATAGTTTATCGTGCGGTGCAACTGTTAATGAAAGACTGGGTTACTGTTTAAGTCCTTCTCTAAATAAAATCAGATTTTATGTTGACCATTTAGTTTCATTTGAAAAATATTGTGAGGAAAATCAAGCCATTATGCTACTCACAGCCAGTGGATGAATCCAGTACAGAATCAATCTCATTTTCAGAGTCAGTCCCATCTTCCTCAAAGTCATCTTTCTTTTCATCTGCCTTCATAATATCCATCTTACCCTGATGATTTTTGGATGCAAAGAAATTAAATACAATTTTTATGAATAATAAAAAACACCACACTGCAAAGTATAATTTCTTTTGGAATTCTCAGTAAAACAATCTGAGTAAAATTTATTTACATTAAAGGATTTTTTTTTTATTTGCATTTCCCCCCAAAACTATTAACCTCATTTTTATGCTGAATAATGCTTTAAGTTTATTGCTATAATGTGCAGCTTTTAAAACCGGAGCATCACACTGCAGAATATAAAAATTCCTTTTCAACTTTCTTGTCTGTTTAATAGTTAAAACACAATTAAATGTAAAGAAAGCTGCATACTATATTGTGTCACATAATTATGCTTTAAACTTAAATCTCAGATTGATGCTGTATGCGATCTCTAGCTTAAAAATCTGTAATCCCACCATGTTTGTCTTCACCCTCAAACTACTACAACATCAAAAAATAAGACAACTTACCACAGATGATGAAGTTTACAGTGTTAAACCTGTATAATACACACCTGTACATCGATGAGACGAACACTTGTGCGTAAAGAGTATGAAATATTCTGGTTTCATCTATGCAATGAAGACAGTTTTCTGTGGAAGATGTGTAGTACACTTCACACCAGTATCGACTAGTTGCAAGCAAGAGGGCTGGTCTTGTTGAAGGATGCAATGAATGAATTAACAGGTGTTTCACTGAGGCACAGGACTAGTTAAACATGTTAGTCAGGTAATATGGAGTAGCTGACATGTTTCAATAAAAATGCCCTTCCAGCCTCGAAAGTGGAGGTATTTCTTTCAAATCCGAGAAACTATAACTAAAGGATCTAAAAACATTTGAGAGTACACAGCCGAAATGTATGTTAATATGAAGCAGTCACTGTATTTATTTGACCGAGTCAACCACTAATGTACATGATTTAATATAGGACTAACAACAATTTCCTTGCTTTAAAAAAAATACTATTATAAAAAATATATAAATTTTATAGTCTACTGGCAGATGCCACAATAATAGTAAAGTCAGTGTGTAGTTTTCAATTGAGCTTTATAAACCATAACCACATAGAAACTAGTGGTAACCTTTTCGAGAAAGATTTTCCTTTTAACGTGTCCATTCAGTGAAACTAAATATAAAGTCTTTTGTTAGTTTGTTTTGTAATGTTGTGTGTGTTCTAAACACTGCATTTTTGCTCACAGTTCCTTTTTTCAAGTCTGAAGGAGCTGCTGTTTAGGTGTCTGATTGGCTACAGAATGTGAGGTCAAAAGCAACTTTTGTTCAATCGTCTTTGAGGAAATTTCTACACGCTTTCCCATTGGCTTAGGTAAACCCGGAAGTCGACTAGTCTATTGTTGACAGGGAAGTCTCATGCAGCTACAAATCTGAACACAGATATCGTGTTATTTGATTTTTTACCTAAATATATAAATCTTCCAGTGTCCAAGGATGGGATCTACAGACATGAAACTCATGGATGTCTTTTCGTATGAGAGTCTTGTACATGCAGTCGCCGGTGCGATGGTAAAAGTCTTTATTTGCTTTTGTGACCTCCAACTGCTGCGAGACAGCATGACAAACTCATCAAGACAAATACACATTTAAATAAATAACATTACACACAAAACTACATCTATAACTTAGCTCAATTATATCTGGAATCGTAGGGTTTAAAAAGCAACATATTAAATATAATTACATTTAAAGTTAAACAAATTACGTACTTCAATGCGTATTACTATTCAAAAATTAAGTTTTGATATTTATTGCAGAAATTGTATAGATGGAACACAATATACATACATACATACACACACACACACACACACACACACACACACACACACACACACACACATATATATATATATATATATATATATATATATATATATATATATATATATATATAATGATTGTTTGGTTCAATAATTTTGACATATACAATGTATTTTTTAAAAAAGTGCAACTTGCTTTGTGATTTAGGGTCACATATGCACTTGAAAGTATAGTTCTTGATGTTACTCTACTGTATGTTTGCAGGGCAGTGTTACAGCAATGACTGTTTTCTTTCCCCTTGACACCGCTCGGCTCAGGCTGCAAGGTAAATCACATTCGTTTGTTTGTTTATTTCCCTTTCCCCCTTCTGTTCTGCTGATATTTATCCAACCATCCATCCATCCATCCATCTCTATATATGTCTGTCTGTCTGTCCATCCATCCATCTGTGGTGTTTTTTGTAATCGCTATTACTTCTGTTTCTGTGTAGTTGATGAGAAGCGGAAAGCCAAATCAACCCCAGCCATTCTTTCAGAGATCATCAAGGAGGAGGGTCTGTAAGTTGTTTTTTTTTTTTTATTCATATATTGATTTGTTCCTTTTCATTTAACCGTTGATCAATGACTGTGTACTCTTTGTCTCCAGGTTGGCTCCATATAGAGGTTGGTTTCCAGTGATCTGCAGCCTCTGTTGCTCAAACTTCGTTTACTTCTACTGTTTTCATAGTCTGAAGGCCACTTGGCTACAAGGTCAAAGATCAACAGCAGGGCGGGACCTTATTATTGGCATTGCTGCAGGTTTGCTTGTTAAAAAATACTGAATGATTTAAAACAGATAAAATAGCATCTATCTATCTATCTATCTATCTATCTATCTATCTATCTATCTATCTGTCTGTCTGTCTGTCTGTCTGTCTGTCTGTCTGTCTGTCTGTCTGTCTGTCTGTCTGTCTGTCTGTCTGTCTGTCTGTCTGTCTGTCTGTCTGTCTGTCTGTCTGTCTGTCTGTCTGTCTGTCTGTCTGTCTGTCTGTCTGTCTGTCTATCTATCTATCTATCTATCTATCTATCTATCTATCTATCTATCTATCTATCTATCTATCTATCTATCTATCTATCTATCTATCTATCTACCTACCTACCTACCTACCTACCTACCTACCTACCTACCTACCTACCTACCTACTCCATCCATCCTTCCATCCATCCATCTATCTATCGCATATGTTTTTATTTTAGTGCATTTAATTAAATGTGATTCATATGCTCTACTGATCAAAGGTTTGTAAAAAGGGCTGCATTTATATGATCAAATATTTTGTAAATAAACAATGTGATTAATAAATAATTTTAGAGTTTAACAAAATACTGGAGTTATGGCTGCTGAAAATGGAGTGTTGCCCTCACAAAAACAAATTACATTTTTAAATGTGTTAAAATACAGAACTGGTACATTTAAATATGTTGCTGTAATGTTCTTGCTGTATTTTGCATTAAATATGTACAACAAATAAATGTAGCATGACTATTTGACCGGTGTGCCAAATTTTAGAACTCGTATAAATGTCCATATGGCTGTAATCAGACGTAGATCCATCTAAATTGCAGTTAAACACATTCGATATCCTAAATATTCCAGCCTTTTGACCATACTTGTATTTTTTCATGTACATAGCTTCTGCTAGGATTAAACTTAAACCGTCTGCCTGCAGGTGTGGTGAATGTCCTTGTGACCACTCCACTCTGGGTAGTCAATACCAGACTGAAACTACAGGGGGCGAAGTTCAGAAATGAGGACATACAGCCCACACACTACAACGGAATCAAGGGTAAACAATAGCACAAATGATCAAATGTTTTTCATTCTCTTTAAATAAAACATGTGTCCAGGGAGGTAATCATCAAGTGATCTCTCTTTCTGTAGATGCTTTTGTGCAGATCATGCGTCAAGAAGGAGTAGGTGCTTTATGGAACGGGACGTTTCCCTCCCTGTTGCTGGTGCTTAATCCAGCCGTGCAGTTCATGATCTACGAGGGTCTGAAGAGGCAGATCCTGAGGGGCGTCCACAGAGAGGTCAGAACACACTACTGATCTTATAATAGATGGTGGATTTTTTGAAGAGTGGTTCATTACATCTCACAAAACTCACAGTTTGGGTCAATATTAGAGCTTTAAAACTGATTGTGATTACTTATGATAAAACAGTACGTTAATGTGAATGATAGGGCTATTTAAATGGATGGTTTACCCAAAAATGAAAATACTGTCATCATTTACTCCCAGCATTTATTCCAATTGTGTTCGAGTTTCTTATTCTGTTGTGCACAAACAAAGATATTTTAAAGAATGTTGGATATTGGCAGCCACAGACTTCCATAGTGTGTTTTAATCTCATTGCTTTCCAGCATTCTTCAAAATATCAGAAGAAAGAAGCTTTGGAAACATGTCAGTGTGACTAAATGAAGAGATTATTTTTGGGTGAACTATACTTTTACATGCATTTTAAAGGTATTTATTTATTTATTTATTTTTATACTTTAATCTTGTCATTGGCCTGAATGACCATACTTGCTGTATTGCCACCTTCATTAGGTTTTCTTATGCCACTGTGCCTTCATAGTGTAACAGTTTTGTCCATCACACTTTTTATGTTATCAATATATTTTATAAAGAATATGCCAATATGCTCTCGTTCATGCAGTTGTAAAGATGCTTTAGTCTTTTTAAGTTCTACTGATCCTCTGCTATTTGAAATAATAATAATTTTATTGGATTTTGTTTGAACTTTAGAAAAAAATAACAGGAAAAAATACAAACTTAGTCTGAAACATCGAAACACTGGGAATCAAAAAAAAAAAGATTAAAAAGGTAAAAATAAATTAATTACATAAATTCAAATAATAACAATACACACACTACCGGTCAAAGGTTTGGGGTCAGTAGGTTTTTAAATGTTTTAAAAGAGGCTTCTCCTGCTCGCCAAGACAGCATTTAATTTATCAAAAATAAGGTACAAATTGTGAAATATTATTGCACTATAAAATAACTGTTCAAATGTAGATTATACTTTAATCATTTAATCCAGTGATTTTATCCAGTGACATTCAGTCTTCAAAGTCACATGTCCTTTAGAAATCACTCGAATATCAATTATTATTAATATTATTATTAATAAAAGCAACAATGACTGGAGTAATAATTTCATTTGAAACTACGTACAATAAGAAAGCAGTTATTTAAATTTTAGAAAAATATTTAACATTTTAATTGATGTTCTTTAAAAAAAAGACATAAACTGACCCTAAACTTTTGACTGGTAGGGTATTTCAAAAATCGCTTGGAGTAAGCAAAAAATCCATTAGTTTGCACTTTTTACAGATTTACAGAGTATATATGAAACAAGCATAATTTAGATACTAAAGTTATATTTTCTTCAATTAATTTCCCAATCATGATAAGTGTCTCATTCCAAAATGTTTCGATCTCATTGCACTCCCGTATACAGTAATAAAGGGTACCTGTTTCTTCATTGCATTTTTTACAACTTTCAAGTATATTTGGGTTTCAGATATTTGTTAAACACATTGATATTTCAATAATGCATTGCTTTTTCCATATTCATTAAGAAACTAAATGACTGTCCTACTATAAAAAGCAATGTTGGCACTAAAACTGTTCTACAAGTTAATTCATAATTTGTTTATTTGTGATACTTTGCAATGTAAAAAAGTAATTAATCAAAATTAAAATCAATACAAATAAAAATTAAAATAAGGATCAACAGGGATCTATTTAACCCCTATTTTATAATACACTCAAGTTCATAGTTTAAAACTTTTATCAAATTAAAGCCATTGCAGTAATATAAAAGCTATTATTTAGGAAAGCTTTTTATTCTCAGCAGATCTGATTATGATTACATATGATAAGTATAAACAAATGAGTCTATTCACAAAATCTCTGTCACCAGGAGACCAGGAACGGCAGCATTTAGGATATTAAGGAGCTTGCAGAAGACAATTAGAAGTGTTTGAGTGAATTTGCTCATTCAAATCAGCACTCATGATGAGCGAGCATCTGTTGTTAAGAATGAGTAAACCTCTCCACACATGGCTATGGATGTGTGTTGCTACCATAGTAACACGGCAGTAAGATTACGCAACTCCTTAGCATCCATGCATAAGATTCAAACATATTTAGCAGAGTTCACCAAAGTTTAATTCTGCAAAGACGTCTTCATCCTCCTCTTTATGTTCACTTTAAATGTGCGGGATCTATTCATATGACAGTATTCCATACATTTTTTCAATTGAAATCAATTGCAGTAAGTTTTATTACTGTACAGTATATGGTATTATCACAATATTGGAAAAAGATGCATAGAGAATTACTTTACTAAATATGAAAACAAAAATAATTATGTTTTTTAATGCTATATTGTAAATAAGGTCAGAGTAAACAAATATTTTAACCAAATTAAATTGCCAATGTATTATTAGGTGACACTTTGCAACAAGCTCTCATTAGTGAACACTGAATTTTATGTTACACATTGAGTTTTGTTGTGTTGCCCTATTGTATTTTTTTAATGAATATTCTTAAAACGTTTCTGAAAGTAAAAAAGGTAACACTTTAAAATAATGGTCCATTAGTTAATGTTAGTTACTGTGTATACTAACATGAACAACCAATTAGCAATCCATTTATTTTATCTTTGTTAACTTTAGTTAACCTTATTTAAGTTAAATAACATAAGTTCATGTTAACTCCGTGCATTAATTGATGTGAACAAGCATGAATTTGGATGTGAATAATGCATTAGTACATGTTAAACTATGATTAATAAATGCTTTACAAGATTATTCATACTTAGTTAATGTTAGTAAATGCATTAACTAATGGACCAGCATTCTAAAATGTTACCAAAAATTTTTTGCAGTGTTAAATTACTCACATGTCCAGGTTTTTTGGCATTTCCAGTTCACACTCATACTGGTCACAGTATGTAAAGAAAAAAAGCAAACATACAATGTAGCCAAAGACGGATCTTTAGACAGATTGTATAAATGTTAAATTAATTACATACATACTTGTATATAAATATAAAAATCTGACTACAAATAGTACATGCAAACCTATACTAAGTTAACAAATATATGAAGGGTTTGCTTTCCATAAGAACAGTAAGTTTTATTCAACTTGCATATTTAAATTAACAAACTACATATTCAGACAATCAAGAAAACCAATAAATAAAAAATTTGACTTATTTATTTGTTTGGATGAGTGAAAGCCTGAACTTATTATGTTTCAATGTGTTCCTGACAGCTCTCCTCAGTGGAAGTGTTTCTTATTGGAGCCGTCGCTAAGGCCGTAGCAACCACCATAACCTACCCACTCAGACAGTTCAGTCTGTTCTACGGGTAAGACTTCCAGACTATGGGTGATTTTTATTATTATTATTATTTTTTATTAATTTCTTTATATAACTGGTTTTGCTTGATTTCTCATGAACATCACAAAGAAACTCATTCAGTTTCAAGTTAAAGCTTTAAAGAAACTAGTACATTTTTGGAAAACATTATTATTATTAAAATGTCTAACCGTTCAAATGTTCGAATTTTTCTTTCAATCATTCAAAACTTCAAATTTATTATGCTGAATTGTTTAGGAGCAATTAAGAGCTACAGGAACAATATATTAAACTGTTTTATACAGAACTCATCCCTGAAATGTACCTACAGATCACATAAAATGAGTTGGCAGAATATGTAAGACACAGTAGGCTATAAAAAAAGACTGATCAGTGACTTTTGAGAATCCATACATTGTCTAATATAGAAATAAATAGCTAATGATTTCTGAAAGATCAAGACTGTCGAAATGATCCTGGAAATTCAACTTTGTGAACACAGAATTACAATTGAAAATATGTTCAAAAAGAAGACCATCATTTATTTGTTCAGTAAAACTGTTTTCACTTTTTTTTAATGTGAGCCGGTTTACCCTAATTGTGTTTATGCTTACAGTTTCGTTCACTTCAATTTTTTTAGCTGCAATAAAATAAAGAAAAAAATTCTTGTTATGCTGCTTGTTTTTTTCTTATTTTATGTGTAGGCCAAATGACTGTGATTACATGAGATGAGATTTATTTTGGTATCTCTCAAATTAAATTTATAAAAGTATTATAAAAGTGATCATCAAATGATTCTTAATTTAAAAATGCATCATAATTTTTTTCAATCAAATCATCCTTTGCTCATTCCAAACCTTTGTCTGTCTTCTATTGAAGACAAAGACGTTTTTTTAAGTAAGCTAGAAACCTGTAACCATTGACTTCCTTAGTCTAAACTAAAGGTTTGGAAACACCTTTTGGGTGTATATCCCTTTTACAAATATGGTCATGCGCTTAGTTGAATTGGATTTTTTGCATTTACCATAGTTTTTTTTTTTCTGCTGGTTTACCACTGGTTTGAAAACAACTTAATGTAATGTTTTTATTTTGTTAGTATGAGGATAGTAAATTGTATTTAAGCTGTTGTCCTCATCTGTGTTTAGTTTGGCCAGCACGGGCAGCCTGCAGGTCAGTCCAGACTCCTGAACAGCCTGAGATCCGTCATGTATCTGCTCATCAACAGAGTCAGGTACAATAAAACACACACACTTGCTTCATTGAAAAGGTTCTGCATTATGATTTTTTCTTTTATAGCATTGTGGGTAATGTTGCTGTTTGAGCTTCTTCTACAAAGCGACTATTATCAAAGTACAGTGCAAAGTGAGATATCATTCACAGAATTCATTTTTAAATTGACAGTTCACCACAAAATATAAATATAAAAACCTTTTTGAGGTTCTCTTTTTCTGTTCATTTGAGCACAAAAGAAGAGATTTTTAAGAATGTTGGAAACCAGTAGCCATTGACATCCATATTAGGAAAGGAAATACTATGAAAGTCAGTGTTTACCAGTTTTTAGCATTTTTCAAAATATCTTTTATTGTGTAACAGATGAAAGAAGCACAAATAAGTTTGAAACATGTAGAGGGTAAATAAAATATATGTGTGTACTATCCTTTTAAATTTTTACTAAATTGCTTTTTAGATTACAACAATCTTCTTCCTGGGTTTGTTGAACCTGAATTTATATATGTTCGTGAATCAGAACACACTGGGCCGGCTGACCAATTAGACTCCCTTTTTTATTTCGGAGGGAGGGGATTCATAGAACCAGCAAGTCAGCAGACCATCTAAGCAGAGCAAAAACAACAGCATAGAATACTGTATTATTATATGTAAAATACTGTGATATATATATATATATATATATATATATATATATAAATAAAAACAAAAAACAGAACAAGACCTCAAAAGTAGCTCATTGACCTCTCCTTTAATCTGAATGTGTTTATGTAGAGCAGTTAATTTTTTCTTTTTTTTTTCCGTCTCTGAGCTGCCACACAACTAATTGTCAGCTTGTGCATCTGAACTCCTGTCAAACTAATGTTTGTTGATTGATTGACTGCAGGAAGTGGGGCATTCTGGGATTGTTTAAAGGCCTGGAGGCAAAGCTGCTTCAGACAGTCCTCACCGCTGCGCTGATGTTCTTACTGTATGAGAAGATCGCAAGCACCACCTTTAGGGTCATGGGGGTCAAACGACCAATGACCTCCCATTGATTTCCAACAGGGCGATTATTGGGAAACTGGTATGAGTAGTAATCAAATCATGTTTAGTGTTTTATATGTGAAAGGACTATTCAGTGCCAGTCAGAAGTTATATACTGTACAATACACGCTGACTACGTATCAATTTTGGTTTGTTTTGTTAAATTATATGGTTAATATGACTGGATAGTGAAGGAAACTCAGCCAAAAAGTGCCAAGAAAGATGAAATGATCAAAAGAGCTGCTGTGCAAGTGAGAAACATTTAGAATTTTGAAAAGTATGAACTCAATTTAAAACAAATAACAAATGTTACTAATTCAAGTACTGAAATTAATAACTGCTCCATAAAAAGTTAACTTAACTTAAGTCCATTAAGTTAAGGTAACTCAAACCATTTTAAGAAACCCGATTGCAACAAACCATTTAAGTTTAAAAAATGAATCCTATTGAGTACTGTGAACATAATCCATTTGAGTAAAGGAAGCAGTTTGAGCACAGTAAAACCCAATAAATGAAGAGAACTCAAATAAGTCTAATAAGATACCTAATTAGTTAAGGCAACTCGAACGGTTAGAGGAAACTGATTGCTACAAACCATTTGAGTTAAAAACTAATCTATATGAGTACTGTGAACTTACTCCATTTAAGTTGAAGTAATGAGCAATTTAATTAACTCGTTACCTTCAACACTGAGTTCAAAACTCTTTTCAAAGTAGTAGAATTAACCTTTAGTCAATTTTGAGTTAACTACACTCACTTGATAAAGTTGACTGTTGGGTTTTACTGTGTAATAAGGAATTATATGAAGCAAATCAATGTAGAAGTATACAGTTGAGGGCCAAATGATTAGCCCTCCTGTGAACATTTTGATTCTTTTACAAATATTTATCAAATGATGTTTCACAGAGCAAAGGATTTTTCCATTTCCTATAATATTCTTTTAAAATAATAAAACATTTCCTATAATATAATTTTTTTCTTATAGAGAAAATGTTATTTCTTTTAGTTTGACTGCAGTTTTAAAAAGCGTTAAAACTAATTTTAAGGTCAAAATTATTAGCCCAGAATAATTTTCAGAAATGATCATTTTTATTTTCAGTTACCTATAGACTTATCTAATTAACCTAATTTATCTAGTTGAGCCTTTAATTTGCACTTTAAGCTCAATAATTATTTTTTAATTAATTAGTAAAATACCATGTGCTGTCGTCAGGGCAAAGACAATTTAAATGAGTTATTATGAACTAGTTATTCAAATTATTGTTTAGAAATTAGTTGAATTTTTTAGTTAAGGAGCACCTAGGAGATATTTTTAAGTAATTAAAATTTAATAGGAGGGCTAACAGTTTTTACTTTAAGTGTGTGTGTGTGTGCGTGTGTGCGTGCGTTCGTGTCTATTAATAAAACAATATTAATACATATAAATACCAAAATAACACTTATTTTATTTATTACAAATTGGTTACTTTAAAAATGAACAATATAGAATACTTTTGACATTTGAAAATGTTTTAGTTGTACATAATTCTATTTTCCATAGTAATTTTTTACTCTTGCTCATAAATGATCATAAAATCATAAAATATCTTTCTTTTGTACTCTAGGAAATAATATAGATAAAACAAAATAGTTTAAGAATTCACATGTTTGTATCCATTTTTAATTTAAAATATTTCAATTCTGTTTTTTGAAATGTGGAAAAAGCAGCGACTGAGTTCAAACATTTGACTGATAGTGTTTCAATACAAATGAGTGATTACAAATAGGATATACACACACACACTTACTAAAATCAAATCAACTCAATAAATTAACACCGTTACATTAAGAGGTCAATAGCTTGGTCACGATCTAGTGTAGCTTTTTAATAAAGCGTTTGATTAAAAAGTATGTGCTAACATGGTTTTAGCAGAACTAAACGTGTTTACAAAGTGTCAAAAAGAAAATCAATCCTGTAAAGGATCTGCTTTTGTGCTGTCAACAAAAAAGAAACAACTTCCAGACTGGTTTATCTGGTTGTGTGTAAGTGATACTTGATTTTACTTGACAAACACAAAGCCGCTGAGTCTTTAGTGGACCTTTAACCTAAAAAGTTTACAGTCTGATCTTTAAAATAGCTTCCTTCCATCATTCGTGATTGGGACTTGTGGAATAACCTGTTTATGAGCAGCTTTGGCCAGAATTAACACCTGAACTGTGAATGTTACACAAGACACAGAGGCTTATGGGTATCATTTACTGTATATACATATTTCATTGTCCACACTGCACTAATGTAATGTAAGAATCTTTTGCACGGAATTAGCTATTTATGAATGTAAAATGTTTTTTCTTAATTGTCAGAATGGTTTTATTAACACTGAATAATGCAATTGTGAATGATGATTCAAACTATAAATCATTTTGTTATATTGATCAATTATTGTTTATGTTTTATAATCTCTCTGAGAAATTTCTATGCAGTAAAATAATTGACTGAGATGTGATATAAATGTGATATGAAGGGGAGTCGTTTCTATTATTTCTGTTTGCATTTAAAGGAGCAATCTTCATCTAAAGCAGAGATGCCCAAACTAGGGCTCGCTAGTTGGCCCATTTTAACTGATTTGGCCCACCATTCCATTGGCCCACCATTCTACTCCGAGAAAGGTGTATGAATGATGGGCAGGGTTGGGGCGAATGATTTTAACAGAGATTGACATTTCTAGTTTAAAATAAGCTTTTTGTTTGTTTGTTTTATTGCTGAGCTACAAAAAAACCCAACTTAAATGTTTCATTAAAATGTACATGTTAAATACGTAAATAAATACTTTGCAAAAATGTAAATACTGTCACTTGACAGATAGAGGACAATGCAGAAGACATCTGCGAGCAAATTAAGGCAAAATCAGGTGCAGCTTGACTAGCGTAACTTCATTCTGTTATAAATAAGATTGTTTTACCTGTAATAAGTTCATTAAAATGTAAATTAATTATTATTAGTATTAGTTAAGTATAAAGCAATGTTTTCTAGTTATTTTTAAATATTATTAAGTAAATAAGGAAGTACCCATGCCACCTAAATTTACCTTTGGCCCATTAGCCTCAATCTAGTTTTGCTTTTGGCCCTTCATAAGAAAACCTTTGGCCACCCCTGATCTAAAGTATAAAAAAGAAAGAGATTTGCATAAAATTGCCACCAGATGGCAGTATGATCACGCTTTTTGTTCTGTACTTCAACTCAATTTTGTTCTCAATGTCCTAATACTGTAATATATTTATAATGGTTTTAGTTATTTGTAATATTCGTTATCATTTTTTGAATCAAAATAGTTACAAAAATAAAACAATAAACAGCAAAAAAAAAAAATAATAATAATTCTTATGGTTTGGCCACATTTTACATTTTTAAAACAGTATTTTTTATATATTATATTATATTGTATTATATTATATTATATTATATTATATTATATTATATTATATTATATTATATTATATTATATCATTCACTTGTTTATTTGAATAGACAAAATGTTGCAATGCAATGTATTTCCTCAGGGGTTTCTTAGCCTAAACCTGTGTAATTTTTTTATTTAATCTGTTTAATCTATTTATATAATTTTTAAAAAATCACAATAGTTACAAAAATACAATACAAAACAGCAAAAATATATGCAATTTTTTTCATTTTTTGACAACATTTAACATTTTTATAACATTATTTTATAACAACAAAAATGTATTATATTATATTATATTATATTATATTATATTATATTATATTATTCGCTTGTTTATTTGAATAGACAAAATGTTGCAATGCAATGTATTTCCTTTGGGATTTCTTAGCCTAAACCTGCATTATTTATTTCTTTATTTAATCTGTTTATTTTATTTAATCTATTAATTTGTTATATGTTTTTGCATTTGTCTTTGCAATCCTTTCCATTTATTTTATTTTTTTATTCTTTATTGCCTAACAACAACAATAGCAGGCAAAAGTACAAAGTAAGAGAAATAAAGTACGCTGAAAAAAATTATTCAAAGATGATTCCTTGAAGTTACTACCAAAAAATGTAAGGTAAGTGGTTGTAAACAATTTATTTGAGCTGAATTTAAACAAACATATCAAGTTGAACATTACTCAATATAATTTGTTTAAATTCAACCCAAATAAATAGTTTGCAACAATTATGCTGAAATACTATTTTCCTGTCTACTTCTGTTTTTTTTAATTATTTTTATTTACTTTAACATCAAAGGAACAAACAAATAGAAACGAGAATACAAAAAAAAAAAAAACACATGATGGAATAATAAAATTACAATAATTTCACATAAGAAAATAATTACAAAATTGCTACATCCTTAAAGCTTTTTAATTTTTAAGATCCTTTAGGTTTTCAAAATAATGCTTAAACAAACAAAAAAAATGTTAGGTTCATCGTTGGATAGTTTTGTTTGTGTACATGTTATTTCCTCTACATAATCATTGAAGTAATAAAGTTTGGCTCTAAAGTCGTATAATTATAAAAATCGAAACAAATTACAAAAAAGAAATATTTTTTTATTTTGTAAGTTTAAATATTAGATATTCAACATCAACATTTAAATAAATGTGGATTAAAAACAAGTGTTTTACAGGTTCTTTCTCTAATTCACAAAATGTTTGTTAAATCTCAACGCTCACCAATCCAGTTGGCTGAATGGTTCTAGTGATAACAGCGAGCAACAATGTGATTGGCTTAGCTCACCACAGCCCCTGTTGCGGAAGTCATCAAAACGTGTTTATTGGTTACTCGCAGTGTCAGTTTTCAGAGGGCTCGTCCACTATTGGGTGGATCTTAAAAAAGGGGGGCAGGGTTCCGGTCGAAGTTTTGCTGCATATCGGAAACAATAAGTGGGAGTGCAGACCAGTGGAATACCAATAGATGGGATGAAAACACCAGTGTAAAGTAAGACAACTGGTAAACTAAATTCATCTTTATTTCTTCGTTCAGCAGCTATTCAGTCGCAGTCGTGCCTTCAAGTTATTTATGTGTGTTAAATACCGCGTTATAAGCTTATCTGGAAGTTGTGTTGTGCAGTTTGGAGCAGCACGCACATGGCACGAGTTTGCTTGACAAGTTAAATTGGCTTGTCAGGTTACTGTGCCATATGTTTGCTTAGTGAAACCATCTTTTTTTAGGCTGTGACGGGAGATTTTAAGCGATGCAGGTCACCTTGGCCACGGTGGGCATGAGAGGGTGCCAGTGGTCCTGATGCTGTGAAGGAGCCACTGTTATGTAACATGAATCATCATGACAGAGTATGATGGCGCCTTTATTCTTTTATTTAATTTGTCATTAGGATTGTTGGTACACTGTGACGACTGTTATTATATTTTTATACGTCTTTATACTTTTAAAAACTTTTATTGTTGTAATTTTCTTTCTTTCTGTAAATAATGTCAAGCTATGTGTTTTTTTTTATTCTGCACATATCTTACGGCCCATTTTTGTTGACACTGTTTGGTGATTTACAGATTGAGGTGAAGTTGGTTTTATATTCACACATTTGTTTATTTTAACAGTCCCTATATTGTTTGCTATGCTAATTTGAAAATTCACTCTAAAATTGCCTGTAAGCATGACTTTAAAACAACATTAGCACTATTTAATTGACTGTGAACATTTTTGTACTTAGATAGTCATTGGCCGATAATATAATTCCCCTATTAAGAATTTGCTAATAATACTTTTCTGAAATTATATCATTAAAGGGTCACCAAACACCAAAACACGTGTTTTTAGATGTTGACAGTCATATATATGTTCCACGTTGCTAAAAACACTATTAGGACACATATATTTCTCAAAAAAGTGAAAATTGTTTAGAGTAAACTCGTTCTTCTGGTTTAAAAAGAAATTTCGAAGCAAGGTCCCGGCGATGTGATCATTGTGTAAATTCCAGTGTGGAGATTAAATGCCTGTACCTGCCGGTACAAAGTGACATCACTGAGTTTTCAGCACATCCGTTCATTAATACATGAGAAAGACTTGGTTCGACTTCGAATCAATCAGCGCGCTCTATTGAATTGGTGAACGAGATGCAACTTCGTTAAAATGCATGATATAGCTTTAAAGACTCTTTTTACCTGTTACAGTGGTCAGAGAGACACCACGTTGTAGTAGAAGTAGAGATACTTTTCGAATCTCGTCTTTTTTTTTTTTTTTTTTAAACAAAACCATCATTGATCATTGTGATCAATGTTCTGTTAATGTTTATTTAGAGGCAAAGTTAGTTAGTATTGTCAGCAGTACTCTTTAAAAAAAAACTTTCAGTTTTTAAAGACCTACCTTAGTTAAAGTGTAGTCACCAAGTTTACAGTAATGTCTCTACAATATAATGGACTGAAAATCTTCCACTTCCACATAGCTCTCTGATCCGCTGTAAATGCTGCTCTCTGTATCACTGTCCATCTCCCCTGCATCTAGGCATGGGACGATAACCATGTTCAAGGTATACCGTGGTTGGGAAATTTCAAGGTTTTAAAACCATCAAAATTTTCTGCTATACCGTTCCTAAGGTATGTGTAAGATTTTTTTTAATTTGCTTTTTTTTTTTTTTTTTTTTTTTTGCCGCCGTGAAAATCAGCTGTAGCGCACTTAATGAAACTCAAAGCTGGACTCACCCACTTATCAGAGTTTTTTAAACTAGAGGTGTATTTCATTTTCATATCCCTTTAAGGAGAATGTCTGAATGTGCGTATACAAAACCAACTTTACCTCAGAGTTTTACAGCATTAATATGCAAGTACAATTGTGTATGAATGTGGTAAAAAAGGTGTTTTAAAGACTTGTGATATTGTTATCAGACATTTCACCAATTACACAGTTAGTCTGGTTTAATTTAACTTTTTATTTAAAACTTTTAATGTTCAGTTTTGTACTTTTTTTGCATTAATGGTTTGTTAATTCAACTTATGCTTAATTCTATTTTAATTATTATTTTGGTTTGTGAAAGGACACTGTAAACACATTCTGGTTGCCTTATTTTTAAGTTAAATCAAATTTACCTTATGATTCCATTGAACTTATATGATGTTAAACTGACAGCTTGCAGAACTTATAAAATAACTTACAACATAATTTAGTTTAAGTTGCAACAAACTAAAAACAAATGTTGGCAGGACTAATTGGTCATCAAATTTTTTACAGTGTATTGATATTTTTAAAATAATAACCATCTATAATATATTTGTTGCAAGCATACACATTTAATACGTTTTAAATAGTTGTTTTTAGCTTGTGTTAAATTGTAACTTTCTTCCCTTTAAAGCAAATATGAAAATAATGCAAAACTCAAATAGTCATTGATCAGATATTTTATTGTAGAAAGAAGTTTTTAAAAATGTTGCTACATCAATTATATAACAAATAGCCATTATTAATGAACATATTATTCAGTTGTAATGGGTTCATTCAGACATAAATATCTATGCTGCTATCTTTTTACATTCATAAATAACTAAATTCCAGGTTCTGCTGTGGGTCTCTTGAGATGTATTTTATGATGCATAACCCTTATTGATCCATCTTCCTCTCACATCAGCATTTTTTGCAGATGGATTGAAGAAAGTCTGAATAGATTTCAACACACAGGTTATAAGTACACAGTTTATGAATGACAAGCTGGCTGCTTCACATTATGCGTGTTCAGTGACAAAACAAAGTGGAGCAAACAGAACATCATTTCACATTTGAGAATTAACATGCTTAAATTAATACAAACTAGTCAGATTTCTTTAGTGTGTCTTTTTTTTTTCATCACACTTTCATCAGATTTAACTTGCAGCTCAGGTTTCACGGAATGTTCTGGGTTCAACACCAGTTCAGATTAATCAGAAGCAAAAATGTACAGATTGCAACTTTGATACGACCATTATAATGTTTGCTCTGTATAATAAAAATGTTATTTGAGTTTTAAATCATGTTTTTAGTGAGCTGGGCTTGTAAAAATAAAGATTTTTATAGATGATTATAATAGAAATGCTATATTAGAACCATACAGAACATTTGCTGTTGTGGTTTGTGTTCGTGCAGGTAATGAGGTATGAGGAAATCTTACTTTCTTTAGTTTGCTATTAATAAGCCTGTACTGAACCCCAATATCTATTTATGCAACAAAAATACATGTACAATAAAAAAGTAAATTATAAGTGATGTACGTTAAATAAGATAAATACAATAAGGATTTGGGCTGGTGGCGCATTACTATGTTGTTGAGTAAATATAAAGCTATTGTTATTATTATTATTCCTACTATTGTTGTTATTATTATTGTCTTTGTGTGTGTAAGTGCAAACAACATGGCACACACATTGGGCCTTAAAGAATGTGTGTGTGTGTGTGTGTGTGTGTGTGTGTGTGTGTGTGTGTGTGTGTGTGTGTGTGTGTGTGTGTGTGTGTGTGTGTGTGTGTGTGTGTGTGTGTGTGTGTGTGTGTGTGTGTGTGTGTGTGTGTGTGTGTGTGTGTGTGTGTGTGTGTGTGTGTGTGTGTGTGTGTGTGTGTGTGTGTGTGTGTGTGTGTGTGTGTGTGTGTGTGTGTGTGTGTGTGTGAGATTGAATTAACACTGAAATATTTGATTACCGAAAGACACAAAGATGTATATAAATGTTGTTTTGGAAACTAACTGACAGGTAAATTAGTACGCAAATGTCATTAAAAACTAGTAATAGCCAATAGTAGTTGTAAAACTGATTCAAAATGCTTTACAATAAAATAAAATATTTAATAAATAAAAAATAAAGCTTTTATTAAAAATATAAGAATAGGAAAACAGTTATTTTATATATGTAATAACTGAAATACAGATATAAATTCACATGCATGCATCACTCAAAGGCAAGGGAGTGGGAGCATTTATTGATGGAGAAATCCTGATGTTCAGAGGGAGACTGTTCCAGAGCCTTGAGGCTGCAACGGAAAGCTCGATTACCTTTTGATATGCAGGGTAAATCACTAAATTACCCTGGTTGACAAGTTTAACTTTTCCTTATGTATTTTACATTACTTTGTTGATGGATCAACAGAATTTGCACGTTGCAGCATGTTTTTTTTTTTAGATATTGTAAATATTGTAGTTTCAAACATTATTATTATTTTGCTAAAACAACAAATAGTACAAAAAAAATACAAATACTGTATAATAAATACATTTCTACTAAAACTACATACTAAATAATGTTTCTACAATAGTTAGTACTTTTAAAATATTTAAAAACATTTAAATTAACTATCAAATTCTAGCAAATATAAAGCTTACAAAAAATTATTATTTTGGTGTGAGAGTCAGTAAAACTATTGGCAAGCAAAATAGTCATTAAACTTGGATTGTCTAAGCTTAATTCAATTCTTGTTTATTTGTATAGCGCTTTTACGATGTAGATTGTGTCAAAGCAGCAGCTTAACATAGTTAAGAAGTTCTATTAAATTTAAACTGTGTCAGTCCAATTTTTAGAGTTGAAGTTCAGTTCAGTGGGGTTTAATTTGCACTGCTGAAAGTCATAACACTAAAGAGCAAATTTATTGATGCCCAGAATGTAAATGACTAATTCTTTGCTCTTTATTTTCCTAGTTTTAGTTAGTGGTGCCTTAAACCTGACATGGAACAAGTCTGGATTCGTTTGGACAGGAAATAAAGCAGGTAACTGACTCACATTGCACCTACTCATAAACACCTCTGGGTATTTTCACTCTCACAGCTGCTCGTGTTTATTTTCTGCAAACACAATTCCCAAAACCCTGCTGTTCCCTGCACCTCTCAGAAACTGAGACGTCTCTTAAAATCATCCAGATGTAAATTATGCCATGTAACAGTAAAATATATTTGTGTACGGTGTATCACATTTTTACCTTCAATAGAGACATAAAAAAAGGGACGACACGATGGCTCAGTGGTTAGTACTGTCACTTCACAGCAAAAAGGTCACTGGTTGGCTGGGCCAGTTGGCATTTCCATGTGGAGTTTGCATGTTTTCCCCATGTTCGCATGGGTTTCCTCCGGGTGCTCCGGTTTCCCCCACAGTCCAAAGACATGCGGAATAAACTGAATTTGACTGTAGTGGATGAGTGTGAAAGAGTGTGTATGGATGATCCCAGTACTGGATTACAGCTGGTAGGGCATCCACTGTGTACAACATATGCTAGATAAGTTAGCAATTCATTCTGGTATGGCGGCCGCTGATGAGTACAGGGACTAAACTGAAGGAAAAACTATTACTATAGTAGTAAAAATGATATTTCTAAAAATATAGTTCTATAATCTATTTTTCTATTATCAATGAAGATACAGTAGAGTGGATTCAAATGCATAGAATGCGATTATCCTGCCGCATCTCATGAGGAAACATAACTCTTTTACGTTTTGTCTGGCTAACTGTACAAATTTGTGTCGAGTTCAGTCATATGAAAATGTACGATTTTAAAAAGGAGGCATGGCACCCAACCTCACCCTTAAACCCAACCGTCATTGGGGGGATAAGCAAATCACACTAAATTGTACAAAATCGTATGAATTAGCCACTAAATCAAAAAGTTACAAATTTCCATAGGATTGTGATTACCAATACCAATCTTACTAATCAATCCTTTACTTCCCCATAAATTCTGTTTTTTTATTTTTCCATTTGAATTTTTTTTCTGGACCCAATTTTGTTATTCAATTTAGTTTTTAAATGTCTGTTTAATTTAAATCATGCAATATATTTAATTTAACAGCAATTGATAATGAATTTAACAAAATTACACTTTTAGAAAAATATTATGAAAGTGCTTAAATGCAATTTAACTTAAAACTGAAATTAAATCTGACTTAAAAAAGAAAAATTAATGAATAAAGACGTTTTGGTTTTTTAGGTATGAGCAATTCCAGTGTTATGGATGTGACATTTGCAGTAAAAATTCTAAACATAAATTCACAGAGAAAGTCTATGTTAACATTATATTGGAACATCTGTTTATATATCCCAAAACATCTAACCACACAGTTATGGAGTCAGAAAAATATCTCTGAACATTTTTTATATTTTAAATGAGGAAAATAAACATACGTTGTGGATGTGACAAAGTATGCGAGTTTACAGTACTTTGTGGAAATTCTCTGAATTAAACTGCAGAACCCAAAAAAGTAATGCTAAGCAAAAAAAAAAAAGTTGGCCCACTGTAGAAAAAAATTATTGATTTTATTTTATTTGACATTTTTGCATTTATGAGAATGTGACAGATGTGAAATTGCCACTTTGTTAAATCAAAAACAATTGTTTAAAACCTTGACAAAGACATTTTGAGTATTTTTAAAGTACTGTAAAATGCAAACCTACAACAAAAACATAGAAACTGTTTGGCTATTTTGGTGAAACCTTTTTTATGGCAAGGTTGACATTTGCATGAAATTGCTCATGTACATGCAATAAAGATGGCCTTTTACAGATTAGTAGTGAAATAAAGTTTGGCAAGACAGCAGATGATCACAACAGCATGAGTGTCACACATGTCAGCATGCACCATGTAATTCAAACTGCACAAGTCATGTACACAAACATGCAGACTTTATATGTAAAAAGTATCTTGCAGTTTAATATTTACAAACAGGCAGTATTTTTTATTTATTAATCAAAAATATTATATTTGTCAGGATTATGTAATTCTGTGTGTGGATATCATGCACCCCAAAAATATGCAGCCTTTTGATCAGAACATATCTTGAAAATTAAAATAAAACTTGTTGATGGTGTTGTTTCAACAATTGTACTGTCTTCCTGTCAAGAACAGAAAAATGAGAAATAAATCATTTAAATATACTAATTTTAACTGTCATAAATTTACTGGAAATTTAAAATCAAGGAAATTTCTGTAATTTAACAGCTGCTATTTTTTTGTACATTTCTGTAATTTAACTCATGTTATGTTATAACTATTGTTGTTTTACTTTTCTTTTCTGGCACCTCAGCTGCTGGAAGAAAACCCCAGTGAAATATTAAATAATTATTTTATTTATTTATTTATTTTTTAATTGTGCCCTTTAATCTTGAATTTGTGCCACCTTTTTGTTTTCATTGTCATTTTAGGTTCAGTTTTAGCATAGTATAGCAAGTAAAATAATAAAAAGAAGTTTCACAACTCGTTTTGCTTCTGTAATGAAATGCATCTTGGAGAGAAAAAAAATGTCATGTCAGGCTGTGCAACTGAATGTTAGATGGAATTGTGTGCCACTGGGTGAGAACCAAACTTTAAGTCTATGCACACCTGGTATGGATTAGCCAGCTGCCACTTTACAACCAGTAAGATGCTCTGACCCAGTGGCTTTATCTTTTGGATGAAATGTGTAGTAGTCATTGTTGCCTTATCAGTGCCACAGTTGTTTAGCTTTGTAAACGTAAAAGCAACTCTCCAATTGCCCACCACTGAAGCTGATCAAAATACTAGAAAGCCTTCAGGGAGGGACGACTCGAACCAGAGGGAAAGATGTTTTGCATTCTGACCGAGATAAAAGCGAACTGACTGAACATGAAAGGCAAAATTTAAAAAAAACAGTCTGCCAACACTATTATAATTCAAACATTTGAGTTAAACTGAGGTTTAAAAGATGGTTGAAAAAGCTGGACATGTTGAGCTGTGGTGCTTTTGTGGTGGGCTCATTAATTTAATGGTGCTTTATTTAATATACCTGTGATTTTCAGTTTAGTTTGCACCAATTCTGGGATTTAGGTACCATGAAGGTTGCTCCATAATTCCCTGGCATCAAAGAGTGATTAAAGTCAAATTGGCTTCATTCATTCATTTTTCATCTGCTTAGTTCCTTAATTTTCAGGAGTTGCCCCGTCTAAATAAACCATTAACTATTCCAGCGTATGTTTTACTCAGCGGATTCCTTTCCAGCCATAACCCAGAACTGGGAAACACCCATACACTCTCGCATTCACACACTACGGCCAATTTCGTTCATCCAATTCACCCAAAGTGCATGTCTTTGGACTGTGGAGAAAACTGGTGCACCCGAGGAAACCCATGATGCGAACACGAGGAGAACATGCCAACACAGAAATACCAACTGTTCCAGCCGGGACTCGAACCAGAGACCTTCTTGCTGTGAGGTGACAGTGCTAACCACCGTGCCGCTATGGGTGCCTTCTTGTTACCCAAAACCCAAGAAAAAAACCAAGTGCAAATTAAACTGAAACTAGCCAGCTAATCCATCTACATGATACAGGCCACTGGTTTAAATCCTATTCTAATCCCATTTTTCACCCTACAATGTGGGTAAAACCATAAATTACGTTTGCGCAGACTTAAATTGAACTTGCTGCTTGGGACGTAATGACGCATATCGGAAAGACTATTATCTGTTCAGGGGTTAGCAGTAATCTTTAAAGTGATGTACGATTAGTGATGTCAGCAGGTGCACTGCAGTGTTCCCAGCAGTGAAGTATCAGTTTCCCATAAAGATCAATAAATCATATGCATTTAGTCTAAGTGTGCAGCTGTGTCGATGCCATCATCCACGATTAGTGTGAGTGTGTTCAAACGTATAGTCAGGATTTCAGAGTGCATGTTTTAAAATAATTTTTAAGTTCTAAAGGACTCTTACATATTCAAAAGCATAGATGAATATTTTAAATCTAGATGTAAGAATAGATTGAGAGAGTAAAACGAAGATATTCTTTTTAAAAATACAAAAATGCAGTAAAAATTGTAATATTCAGAGTTGTTAATGCATGTTGATTCTAAGGAATATATACACTAATGTTCATTTATTTATGAATGAAGTTTCTTCTACTGAATAAGTTTGCATTTTATTTAATATAAAATAGTGTAAAGGGTAATATTTATAAACATTGTTACAATTTGCATACAACTGTTTTTAATTTGATTATGTTTTGCAGAAGATTATATTTGTAAATATAAAGTTAACATTGTACATTTCTATTGTATTTTGATCAGCTTTACTCCTAAATAAAATAATAATAATAATAATAATAATAATTATTATTATTATTATTATTTATTCATTAATTTGTCTTCGACTTAGTCTCTTTATTCGTCAGGGTTCACATATGTTTTACACAGCGGATGCTCTTCCAACCACAACCCCATACTGGGAAACACCCATACACTCACATTTACTCATTCACCTATATACTGCACCTATTCTGTCTTTGGACTGGGGGAACACTCAAGCACCCAGAGGAAACCCACACAAACATGGGGAGAAAATGCAAACTTCACACAGAAATGCCAACTGGCCCAGGCCGAACTCGAACCAGCAAACTTCTTGCTGTGAGGCAACAGTGATAACCGCTGAGCCAACATGGCATCCTATTATTATTATTATTATTATGATTTATAGAAGACTTGTAATTTATTTTCGGAGTCTTATGAATAGCGCATCATGGTATCCACAAAATTAAGCAGCAAATGCAGTGTATGGAGTTTTATGTGTTAATAATATAAAGACATGTTTGTCGAATCAGCATATTGGAATGATTTCTGAAGTAATTATGCAGACAATTCTGCTTTAAATCATTGGAACAAATACTGAATTTTAAAATCCTTAAGTGTAAAACAGACGTTAATCTTTGTTTATAAAAATATATATTCCTTGTTAGTCCATAGTCCCAGTCCATCAACTTTATTTAATGCATTAGTAGAGGTTAAACTATCATGAATAAATGCTATACATGTTTGTTTCTATATAGTTCATCTTACTTAATACATTTACATTGACTTATGTAACTTTATTGTAAAGTGTAATCTATACACCCTTGCTGAGCTTTTTTTCTTATTATTTATGAGTGTGTGTGTTTGTGTGTTTGTGTGTTTGTTTGTTTGTTTGTTTGTGTGTGTGTGTGTGTGTGTGTGTGTGTGTGCGTGCATGCCCACATAAGCACACAGTCTCAAACTGTGCATCTGAACATCTTGCAGTACATCTTCCCTCATGTTTGTTGTTGCTCTTTGCTCATTTCACACACTACAACAAAACTCCCACTCATTTTTAAACTATTACAATCCAGAAATGTTTGATGAAGCGAAAAAGGGATATAAGAGAAAAACAAACAAGTTTTTTTCACTGCAGTGCTGAGAAGCAAAGATGTAAACCCAATGCACTTGTCAGTCATGTTTTCCCCATTGTGACATCATTCAACACCATGGCGATAGGCTTCAGCAGCACTGTTTTGCTCAGATGGGCTGATGAGAAGTGTGTGTGTGTGTGTGTTTCTGTTTCTGTGACTCACTTGGTACATGAATAAGCTGTTATCTGCTCCTCTCTTTATCTCAAACTCTGTGGAGAGAAATGCACTACTGAAAACACCTGACACTTCTTCTATCACAGCCAATCCTCTTGTCCTCCAAGGGTTTTATTTTCCGCTAAGTCTGTTTTAAGGGATATTGATCTTTATGACTTTTATTCCACAAAATGGAAGTTTAAGAATCTCTGTGTAGCTATTTGTCTGAGTTTATACAAGAGACATAACATCAAATCATCAAGAGCCAGTAAGAAGTATTTCTGCATCATTGAAATTATTTAACATTCACAAATACAGAATTATTAGAACGTTTTTTAAAGGTGCAGTATGTAAGTTTGACACCCAGTGGTTTAAAACAAAAATCAAAGCAAACAAAAGGGCAGGTTTCCAGATTGAGGACAGGAGTGAGTGATTCAAACCGTGTTTTAAATAATTGTAACTGCACGCGATAGATGAATATTCTTCATATTAAAATAAGTTTTTGTCTTAACCAACACCTTGGGCTCTATTTTGACGGTTGACGGTCCATGCGCAAAGCGGAAAGCACAGGGCGCAAACGCATTCAGGGTGTGTCAGAATCCACTTTTGCTATTTTAAGGACGGGAAAATCTGCTTTGCGCCGTGGCGCATGGTCTAAAAAGGTTGAGTTTTTTTTCTTATTGAGTTATAAGTGTGTTTTGAGAATAAACCAATTAGAGTCTCATCTCCCATTCCCTTTCAGAGCCGGTTTTGTCGCGCCATAAGCACAATTGCTATTTACATGACGTAAAGTAAGTGGAAGTGGAAAAACTGAGCATTTCACTAGCAAGAAAACAGTTAAACTAATACACAGTTAAAATAATATGTTTTGTAATATCCTAATCTTAATCCTTTATATTTATATCCTATATATATCCTTATAGCCTATTTATATCCTTAATATTTTTAATTCTTTTTTATATATAAAGATATTTGCGATATTGGCTTTGTTCTGGTCTGTTGAACATTCTATTATAGTTTCTCAAAATAGCAACGAGCCAGCAATGTGCCTCAACACGCCTCTTTTTTGAGACTAGAATGCCTATGGGCGCACATATTAGCGCGAATGCATTTACTATTTAAACAGCGTGGCGCAAAACGTCAAAACGACTCTTGCGCCAAGCTGAAACTAGCAAACAACAATTGCGTTGCGTCTTGTGCCACATTGCACCAGGTGTATGATAGGGCAATTAATGAAGATTTACCAAATAAATGATCTGAACATGCAGCTTTGTTGAACTTTGCTGAACATGCAGCTTTGTCTCAGTAAATGACTGTAGTTGGATTAATGTACTTTTCTTGTTATTCAAAGCAATGTAAAATGATCTGACAATGACTGAATGGGCGTCTTGTAACTTGAGTTCAGGTTGGATAGGAGCAGATGCCAGCTGAGAAAGTTGAGAGCTTTTCATGGAAATACAGTGAAAAAGTGAAATGTGTTAATGATAAGATTACGGTGTCTCAGGTCTTTCACTGAAGTGAGTTGCGTGTTAAACATTCCTTAATGCTTTCTGGGTGTTATACAGAGATGCAGTCAGTGAAAATTTTCAAGTTGCAGGTGTTTTAAACATTACTTTCTTTGAGCATTCAAATTTATTAGATGTCGCAGACATTCTATATTGCAAACATTCTAGATCCCACAGATATTCTAACATTCTTTAGTTTGAACATTCAAACTTTTGATGTTGCAGTAATGCTAAACTTTTCTTGTTTCGTGTTTAAACATTGTAGATCTTGCAGATGTTCTCTTTTTAACCATTCTCATATTCTAGTTGTTTCAGACATCCATTTGGTCTTTAAACATTTGCTTGCTTGAGTCATTAAGAACATTCTAAAATTGGCTTTTTTCCTAACAAATAGAACATTCTAGATGTGGCAGACATTTTAAAAACTATTTCTAAATATTAAGACATTCTAGATATTGCTAACTTTTGCAGACAAACTCTTGTTTAATCATTCAAACATTCTTTATCCAAAGTTATTTAAACTTTTTACATGTTGCAGATGTTCTAAAATTCTCTTTTTTTCACATTAAAACTTTTAAGTTAATTTGCAATTAGACTAAAATATAGTATAAAAAATACAGCTTATGGGTTGAAATTTTGGTTAGGTTTCCTGTTATTCAATACATTTGACCTATTAATGTAATGACCTTTGACCTTTTCAGAGGTTAATTTTACATATAAAATTAGCAGGATTTCTTTAGCTTGTATGGGAACTCATAAAACCACTCTGAGAGTAGTGTAATCCATATGTTACTGCTTTACAGTTGGAATACTGTTTCCGGGTCCAAGCCACTCCTCATTTGAATTGACACCTTTTAGTCATATCACACATTAAAGTGAATTGTATATAAAATCATGGTGTACACAACAGTCTCTGGACTTACTGCATTGCAGACACCAGCAGTTTAACAGTTTATACAATATTAATCCCTTTCTGGCCATCGAATATTAGGCATGGATGGACATAGCATAACGTTTTGAGCATAATCTGCATATATATATATATATATATATATATATATATATATATATATATATATATATATATATATATATATATATAGATTTTTATTCTATGAAGAGCCTTTTTATCAGCCTCTTATATTTATATTCAGTTATTTCGTATTAAAAGTGATTAAAATGTAACCTATTCTTCGCCATAAAAGTGAAATTAATAAAGGAAGATATAGGAGCCTGAGAAAATATTATTATTAGAAGAAAATTTCAGATGGCACTTGCATCTGAACTCTTCATATATTTATTTATATTGTGATCATGATTTTTGTAAGTATTACATCGCTTTGTAAACGTTTATTATTACCATTTGTTGAGTCTTCCCATACAATTTAATAGACCCAGAAGCCGCTTCGCATGATGACACACTTAACAAGCAGATACCAAATTGACAGAGCTTAAAATTTTTCTTTCACTGCTTAAAAATAAATTAATAAATAAAATAAATAATTTATCACTGAATAAGGAAATGTGCGGATAGTATTTTAAGTTATCTAGCATTGGAAATGGACAGTTGGAAAGAATGAAGTCTATTAGCAGATGTGTCCATGACTGAATTGATGACTCAGTGTTGGGATGACGGCATGTGTTTGTGTGTCAGAGACCTTGTCAGAGGTGCTGCTTGTGTGTGTTTGTCTTTCTCTATGTGTTAGTGTTATTACATGTTACCATGGCGATGGTGTTTGTCATCTGCTTAAAATGCTTGCAGCAGATTTTGTTACCATTTTTTTTATTTTGCAGATCAACACACATTACTCGCAGTCAAATTCCACTTTTCCTTGCTATGTGTCTCAAAGTCATGTTCATAATATTGTGCATTTGTTTCTGGAAAATATCCAGCTAATTCTAAGCAAAGGTTTGGATAATGCTTAATGACTGGTGTAATTTTAATCTTGTGTTCAACTTTTGTTTTATTTTAGATCAGTTTTTTCACTATGGAGGCCATGGAGGAGGAGTCAAAGCCCATTGTCCCCACCCCTGCTGTTTCCACAGCCTCTGCCTCCAGCCCACAAAGTGAAGCTGTAACCAATGAACTGCAAGATTTGTCTCTTCAGCCCGCCCCCAATTTGCCTCCTATTTACGAGAGGAAGAATGGTGAGCTTAATGCAAAGATTTTTGTCTAATGGTTAAAACGTATATAATTTTTAGTTACATGTTATTTGATTCTTAACTAAACCTTAAGTCGTAGTCATTTTTTGAATCAACCAAACTGCAGTGTTTGTAAGCCCCACTCTCTCAAAGCTTGAATAAAGCTTTGACAAATAGTGTAGACAAATAGTAGTAAAGGCTGAATTGTTTCTAGGTGCAAGCTATTACACACACACAAACAAAAATATCTTAACTGTGGTAAAATTACTATAACATACTCTAATGTGGATAATGTATAGGGCTCTATTTTAACAATCTAGGTGCAAAGCAGACATGTCCGAATCTACTTTCCTATTTCAAGGACAGAAAAAATATGGTTTGCGCCCCAGCGCATGGTCTAACAGGGTTGTGCTTATTCTCTTAATGAGTTATGGGTGTGTTTTGAGCATGACATGCATTACACTAATCAGAGACTCATCTCACATTCCCTTTAGGAGTCAATTGTGTCGCGCTATAGCACATTTGCTATTTACATGGTAGACTTTGTAAGTGGGAAACGTTAAAGCTTTACTAATGAGAAAAGGTTTAACAGAGCATCTGCAGCGGAACGAGCCTCCTCCATTCAGCCTCTTTACTTTCTCTTTACTTTACTCGTACTCTCTACTTTACTTCTTTACTTTCGAGGATAAGAAAATGATGTTTACGCACTCCTCTGAAGACATCCACCAGTCTACATATTTAATAACAATTTAACAATTTAATAATAATAACGAAGTATGGTCAACCTTCCCCCCACTCGACATTAACATTGCATGGAGGTAGTGGCTTTTATATTTATGTAAAAAATAATCAGTTTTGTAACATTTTAATCCATCATCAGGTATTCCATCCTGTACCATCATTGTACATCCTGTGTGTATTAAGCAATGTGTAAGCAATTGGACCTGTATAGGGGCATAAGTAACATGCTCTGCACTGGACTTTAGAGCAGCTTTTAGTTGGTCGATGGTGCAGTCTATTTCAGTTTCGCAAAATAGCAACACACTGTTATGACCTAAACCGGTCACCACAAATAAGGAGAAGTCGAGTACAATTGCGGTACAAAAACATATTTATTTACTATTATCAAAGGTCATGTTGCTAGCCCATCAGGTCCAAAACCGATCCCAGCCGAAAGATAAGTGACCAGATTCCACGTGCAGCCTCTCCTCGTCTGAAACGAACACGCTATTTATAGCAGAGCAACTCAATCACAAACCGGTGTTCTCAATCCCAGCGCAATCAGCTGGACCTGCAACACACACACACACACACACACACAGATGCACAGACCGACACCCACACCCCAGCCACAAACGACCACAAGGGGTCGTCACACCTTCCTCCCCAAAAAAAGTTAAATAAAAAAAAAAAAAAAAAAAAAAAAAACCATACACAATCAACAAATAAGAAACAGGACACAAATCGACATATCTCTATCACTTCAAGAGACCGGTGCACGAGAAAGGGCGTCCGCCAAAATATTTTCCTTCCCCTTGATGTGGTGAATCTCCAAATTGTACGGCTGTAAAAATAAAGACCATCGCATTAAACGTTGGTTAGGATTTTGTAAAGTTGTCAAAAACGTCAAAGGGTTGTGGTCACAATAGATAACCACCGGCAATCCACCCCCCCCAACATAGACATCAAAATGCTGGAGTGCCCAAACCAATGCCAAGGCTTCCTTTTCGATTACAGAATAATTAATCTGATAAGGCAGAAATTTTTTGGAGAAGAAACATACTGGACGTTCCACCCCATCACCATCATCCTGTAGGAGCACAGCCCCTGCCCCAATCTCACACGCATCTACATGTATTTTAAATGGTCTGTCCCACTGCGGCGCAGCAAGAACTGGAGCATTTGTCAACAACGCCTTTACATTTTCAATTTATTTGCAATAAATATAGCAATTTGATTTGGCAGTATGTTCTTAAACTGCTCCAAAACAACCAATTCCACCAGATCCTTAAACAATTTGACAGAGGCAGAATTACACCAGCGTGTAAAACACAATTGCAGTTCACATGCTACTTCTACATATGACTGGGTAAAGTTCTTTCTTAAACCACGGAATTTTTGGCGATACGCTTCTGGAACCAATTCGTATGCCTTCAAAACGGCCTTTTTAACTTTATCATAATTTTGACTATCGGCCAAACTCAAAGCAGAATAAGCTTTCTGTGCTTTACCCGTCAAAACACACTGTAACATTAACGATCGTTCGGCCTCCGGCCAACTCTGATTGTCCGCAACTCGTTCAAATAACAAAAAAAATGTATCCACATCTTCTTCATTAAACAAAGGCATTAATCGCAAGTTTGCTGCTACATTAAAATTAACAGAAGGTAGCCCCCCCTCTGCTCCTTCACCTAAATCATCATCATTTAATCTCACTTTTCCATCCTTCATTAGATCCAAACGTTGCTGTTGAAGATCTAATTTTCTATTTTCCAAAGATTGCTGTGCCAAAATAGTTTCCTGTTCTAATTTTCGTTTCTCAATTTCCATTTTAAACTCCAATTTTCGCTGTTCTAACTGGAGAAGTACCAACTCTTTCTGTTGTTCAAAGGTAAAGGTAGTAGAGGGATACCTCGTAACCGAAACCCCTACTTCTGAAGACATAATCCCTTTCTCTATAAAAGCCATCTTTAAAACTGCCCTAACATTTTCTTTCAGTTTTTTATCATTTGTCGTAAGGACAATACCATAGTGGGCTGCAATCTCGATCAATTGGTCTTTTGTTAACAAATTAAATATTTGCTCAGAAGGATTCTCAATAAACTCACCTACTTCAATTGACGTCATAATCAGGAACAGAAGGGGCACAACGAAAGAGAAAGAAAAAAATATATATATATGTCTATATACATATACATACATACATACATATATATATATATATATATACACACACACATATACAAAATAAAAGAAAAAGAATAATCAATAAACCCCTTAAGTAATTTACCTCCTTGCCACACCCACTGGAGACAACAAATATATTTGCGCCCTGTATATTAATTTCGCAACCTATAACTATACATAAATCTAACTAAGTAGACCCTAGTCTTCAAGCATACAGTGGTGGGTTTTTATGCACCAAATACCGCAGGCTGAGAACAACAACCAATTATATTGGCGATTCTCTCACACCTCGGCGTGCTCCCGAGACATAGCTCTAACCACCGATCTGCTCAAAAATAACAAACTAAAAAAAAATATTTGACATGTCCCAAGAGACATATCACTTAATCCTAACAACGAAATTAATTCACAGGGCTATTTGAAATGTCAACCAGCTGTGCATGGAATTACACAAAATAAGTCTATTCTTTCAATACAATTGCACTCGATTCTCCCAATAATAAATCAAATTTCAGTTTTATCATCATAACCAATTAACCAAAACAAATTTAACAAAATCCAAAACAATAACAAAAATTATACAAACAATACCAAATTTTACCAGTCTAAGAAAAATGTTTTGGACGAGCCCCCATTCGTTATGACCTAAACCGGTCACCACAAATAAGGAGAAGTCGAGTACAATTGCGGTACAAAAACATATTTATTTACTATTATCAAAGGTCATGTTGCTAGCCCATCAGGTCCAAAACCGATCCCAGCCGAAAGATAAGTGACCAGATTCCACGTGCAGCCTCTCCTCGTCTGAAACGAACACGCTATTTATAGCAGAGCAACTCAATCACAAACCGGTGTTCTCAATCCCAGCGCAATCAGCTGGACCTGCAACACACACACACACACACACACACAGATGCACAGACCGACACCCACACCCCAGCCACAAACGACCACAAGGGGTCGTCACAACACCAACAATGCACCTGAACACACCTCCTTTATAGACCAACACATCGATAAGTCCACAAAGAGGCGCAAATGGGTTTGATATTTAAAAAACGTGGTGCAAAACGAGAAAATTAGGGTTGCGCTGGTCTGAAAATGGCAACAAAATGTAAATGACAGGGCCCAAAGTATTATAATAATTTTATTGTGTGTGCAGATTGCAACAAAACCTATAAGACTATGACTCTGACTTCCTAAATTTCTTGAGAAAGCATGGGAGCTTATTATTAATTAAGGGAAAATGATCAATTCAAATTATTCTCTTGAATAACTAATTGTGTGTAGATATCTATAGTCTATAGCAGTGGTGTCCAAACTCGGTCCTAGAGGGCCAGTGTCCTGCATATTTTAGTTCCAACCCCAATTAAACACACCTGAACCAGATATTCAAGCTCTTTCTATATACTAGACTTCTAGGCAGGTGTGTTGGAGGAAGTTGGAGCTAAACTATTCAGGATACTGGCCCTCCAGGACCGAGTTTAGACACCCCTGGTCTATAGTCACATATAGGTCATAATCAGATCATCATTGTAAACTGTAGTTTTAATGACCTCATATACTGAAGGGATGCTGGGTAATTAAGGAGCTTGTGCACACGTTTATATCATTACATGTTTATCATTTTTAAATGGCTGTTTTCTCAGCTCAGTGATATTTTTCGAAGTACGCATTGAACACATACTTTCATATTCATCTAAATGTCATTAACCAAGGTTTCTCAATTCTAGATAAGTATATAACCCCTTTAACATTAGTAGAATTCTTCAAAATTGAAAAGATGTATACTGTTTTATCTGCCAAACATTTTATATTCAAAATAATTTTTGACTAAATTTGAGTATTTCCTTTCTTTATATGTTAGTGGTTATCAGTGTGTTTTATTATGTTACAGTCATATGCGATATGTCTGTCTCATCTGCGCAACATCATTTAGCTTTCATGAAAGGTTTTGGTGTAATGAGAAAAATACTAGCAAAAAGCTTAGGACAGAGATAAACCTCGGATTGCATGTTTTTTCCACCAAAAATGTAAAGCAAAGCAATTTTTTTTTCATTGTTTATCAGTCACATGATTTAAAAAGGCTGCACTCAGCA